TTGCGTCTTGTGACAAAACGACACTTTCCCAATGATCATTTGATCCAAAATAAATCGAGCTTGATCAAACGAGTGTTGGACAAATACTTAAATCGACCCCCTCGTTGCATTGGTGACTGTGGAGGCATCGATGGAAGTCATGGAACATGCGTGCCAACTGGACATTTCGAGCTGGGAATCTGCCAATGTAAATCTGGATGGATGGGACCGTACTGTTCGACTCCAACAGAAAAGATCAATACCGTCATGCACGGAACAATATGCGGATTTGATCGATCTTTCATTCGAGCACGTTGTGAAGGTCGTCGTCCGTATACTGACGGATGTCCTCCGGGCTGGCGACAAAAGAATTGGCCTACTGATTTGACAATTTGTTACAAAGACGGAACAGCTAAGGCCAAATCGATGGTTGGAACCCTTTGTGGGATTTATGCATTCATGCGATCACCTTATCAATTCAACATTCACATTCCTTGCAATTATTTCAGTATGTCACCTCTAAGCACGTGTCCTAATCTCTACCAAAGAATAGCTGGCTCGAAATCGGGTGGTTCTGCCAGCAACAGCGTATGTATCAGCATGAACGCTAAGGATGATCTTCCTGGAACGATTTGTGGAATGCAAATTGAGGAGTCAGTTGACGGACCCACTTGTGATGGTTATCATCCAGGCCTGCGACAGTGCCCCCCAGGGTATAGCGTTCAACGTACTGCATTCGATGCTTATGGTTACCTAGTATGCATGAAAAACTAATAAATCATTCTAATAATGAATCAGGTTATCATTGGCAGTAGTGCCTGAACGAATCATAGATCACTAGTTAACATAATTTAATATTCTTAATAGATAGTTGCCTGTTGTTATGTTGAATTTCTAATGTGTTCATGATCGATATCAGTATTTTGCCACGAATGAGAACTATTCGAGCAGTTTTTATGTTGCAGCAAGACGAATCAAATGGTATTCATTCAGCTGAAATACCATTTTAATCTGTTTGACGGATCTTAACATGTCAATTAGTAAATGCCTATTTAAGAGATGAGCAAAATGAATTCGCGTTTTGAAACGCTGAGAAGTTCTAAGTTATGTTTTCGAAAATTTAAATTAAAAAAAATCACAAAAATGATGAGGGGCGCAAATGCAACTTTTCAGACCACAATGTTTTCAAGATATAACTGCATGGGAGTAATAAGCTTGATATGGGCTACAAATCTACCACAGCCTTTTTTCTTTAAAAAACTGAGATTTTTAATCCTCTGTGCATCCTGCAGTATTCTATAAAGATTTTGTGAAACAATCTAAAAGAAGAATTGACATATAGGGGTAGAAATTTGGGTTTAAGTTTCGGTATCTCTGTAGATGACTATAGGTTGATAAAACTCGCACACCCACAAACAACCACATTCTCTCTCTGCATGTACACTCTGCATGCACACCCTCATACACACGCACAGATGCATATAGCTCAAGGGGGGAAAAGCGAGACTTCAGTACTTCACTTGCACTTCACTCGTACTTCATTGTACTTCACGCGTACTTCACTGTACTTCGCTCGTACTTCAAAATTGTGCTTGAAGTACAGTGAAATTCGAGTTAAGTAAAAGTGAAGCACAAATGAAATGGAGTGAAGTAAATTGAGGTATGAATGAAGTACAAGTAGCAACACAAGTGAAGTACAGGAAACTACGAGTGGTTACAGAGGAAGTACAAGTGAAGTACGGTGAAGTCTCGCTTTCCCCCCCTTGATATAGCTACACGACCACCCACATACGAGTGGATCCGATTTATTCTTAAACTTTTTTGGGATGTGAATGGGTATGATTGTGGGTATAGCTGTAGGTGTAGATGTGGTTAGGTGTGTGAGAACGTGACTGTAGATATGTGCGTTCTATTGATCCACACACACCCAGGGAGATAACCAAACCCTCATCCACATCCAAGCATCAATTAGATTATTTCTTCGGTATTTGTTCATTTTAACAAGTGTACTGATGAGATTAGAACGGAAGAAGGAAGTGATAACATTAATATCACTAGATATGATTAATAATGTTCTTTTATTGTCGATATAAATTGTTTTCAATTTTTATTCCATTCGTATACATAATCATTATGCGATATGGCCATTGACTAATGGCGAAAGTATTTTCATAGAATGATTCGGGAATTTTGAGTTGAAAATAGATCCTATCAGCAAACCAATCCACTAGATAAGCTTTATAGCAATAGTGTCACCAGCACCAATAAGTATGTTGGAGCCATCTTCAATGAATGGAGTCACTGCTACTATTTTCGACGAATTCAGAACATGAGGAAATCCTTCTATTGCTTGAACTCCAGCTTAAGCCACACCCTCACTCGTGTAGACTCTTGTTTGAATGATACATGCACAACGGGGAAAAGCCACACTTCGGGAATGCGTACTTCACGGGTACGTCAGATTTTTTCAAGAAGATCAAGTCTTGCTTTTCCTCCTTGGAAGTTATACATTAATCAATTGTATCAACAAATAAAACATTTCAGCTACGGTTCTCAAGAAACTGGTGCTATCACCGATACAGATTGCTCTAGTTGCGGACTTGCGAGTCAAATTACGTAATGCCTATCTAGTGATGCAAAGACTTGGGTACCGATGTAAGAGAAAAGAGAATGGACACCCACACCCTCAATACATACAAAGTGGCAAATGAAACATTTGTTACAGGGGACACCGTCCTTTCTATCTTCTTCTCGAATTTTATTCCATGACTTTTACTCTCTACGAAAATAGCGTGTAAAAATAATGCACTTTTTGATTAGGAAGACATGACGAAGTTTATTTCTCTGATGTCATTGAATTTAACACTGAATTGAAAGCTTGAGTTAACGATCTATAAAGACGTGTACTCCGAATCAATGTCGCTTACTTCATTTTTTGCATCTATCTCTATAAAGTAAAATCTAGGGATCATGAAGTCTCTTACTTTAGAGTTAGATGAAGGCTATACCACATTGTGGAATCTTTAAATAATATGAAAAAAGTGATAAATATTAATCTTTGAGATGTATTTTTCATTTCAAAGTCTTTCAAATATAACTGCACAGAGTTCTCGAGAGCAAACAGCAAATATTATGGTATCTTTCGCTCCCTCAATATAGTCTAGGCATTTGTCAGCAGTTGTAAATATTTTTATGTAATCAACAATTTAGCGTAAAACTTGAAGTGGCAGAACAAATGATTCACTAGTATCAAACTAGACCAACTAATATGATTCTAGATTTATAAATGTACGGCTGAATGTGAGAAGTCGAGATAGTCATCGAAATTCATGATTATCTTTGGATACTGTTTGCATAGTTTCAGTTGCAGAAAAAAGGCTTTAGTTCAAAAATGAACCTGCTCATTATAAATCTTTACCGCAATGGCAATCGGTGTAATGGTTGTGTAATACAATGCTTGATTTTACGGTTTATTTGTACTATTAGATAAAAATCGAGAAAGAATGTCGCAGATTTTTCTTCTTTCCATGTACAAAAAACCTGTGATAAGAACGTTAAAATAGCATTTTCACAATTTTGTAAGGTATAAACACGTTTATTGATTCAATTTCTACTTGAAACGCTAACTTCATATTTTTTTAAAAATTACATTTCGATTATAAAATGCTAAAAATGGTCTCATTATGTTGCTACTAAGTGCATCGCGTTTAAACAAAAATTTTCGTTTTTGTTTAGACTATCTTCAATTGATCAAACATGACTCATTACAACCGTTCACATATTATTTAAAAAGTAGTCCATGAGACTGTCAATTATAGGAGGAGCTGGGTCAAAAAAAAAGGAATCATTTTTTTTGTTTCTTTTACGTATTCGAGCAATCAATGTCTGAAACCACCAGCCTGAAAATTTTCGCTGATGATACCCTTCCTTCAAAACGTTAGCCAATACCGACCTTTAGCACTATCATATTTTTACGAGAAATAAACAGCAAAAAACACCCTATAAAAGTTATGCTTTCTTGTGTTTGACATTTTTTGAAATGTACGCTATGAATAGATTCACTGACTAGCACAAAATTGGACAAGACTAAATAAATTGGAATTCTCAAACTGTCTCAGAGCTTAGATGCGAGTCATAATAGTAGCTGACGAATAAAAACTTATGTTCAATACTTTTCTAGTTTCTTGTTATCAGATAACATGAGTGATGTGTTCATTACACTGATTTTCTCATTCACAAGTTCATCTCTCATCAATGCTTTATGGATCTTAACATGGATACATCAAATCCCCTTATTACTATGCTTTGGTTCTAGACACTATCGAGATTTACAAGAGTTAAAAAAAGAATCTATGAGTCATGTGTCGATACAGCTCTACCGAAGAATGTCATTATAGAAGTTTATGTACAGTTCAGAAACACACACCGATGTATTTCAATTATCTTAAAAGAAGTATAAAGTAAACCTTTTACTACCAAATGAGAGCTTCTCATTTTTATGAAATATGAACTTCAGCTCTTGCGAGCATTCTAATCATGGATATTGTACTCATTTGATGCGAACACTTGTGTTACAGTTCGAAAGTCTCTCGCATAATGTCAACTACATATCGCTCAACTTTGTGAGATGTCTCATTTGTTCAGTCAAAGACCTATTCATACTTCTGTCAGACGAAGAAAAATTGAATGGAAATACAACATCAGATTCTTGGAAGGAAAAAAAGCGAAAGAGAAACATGGAACTACATTAAACATATCAGCGAAACTTATTGCTCTCTTGTTCATAACACAACTAAAATGTGAAACACAATGAATCTATTCGAAATGAACATGAAGATGTTTGTTAAAAACTGTTATATATATTTAAGTGATTGTAAGAGGATATATATGAAACAAAAATTCATTGTTGAGATTGAAGGATTTCATGAAGCTGACAGAATAAAACAAGAAGCAAAAAAAAGGCAAAAAAGTGTCTACGTAAGTTGAAAGGACAATCTTCAGTGCAAGCAACGTATTCAACTTTATTGTTTTAACTTCTTAACTACATATCCGATTATTGCTGAAGAATAAAATTCCCTCATATAAAATTTTGACGGATAAATAAATATAATAAACGTTAATATTTGAGGTATATTAATGAGTAAAGCCGATAGAATATGTAAATGTGAATAGACACCCAGTTTAGCTTCTAAACAGGGAAATACAGTATTCGTTATAGCAAAAAATATTAAATGTGGTAATTGACATAATATAATAACTAATGGACAAATAAAATAATCACGATGTAATGAAATTTGTTGCAACCATGCTTGGCGATAAGTTAAATGATTACTAGCATAATGAGATAATGATACTTTTCGTCGAACAATACTGATACACGTTAGTATATTCGATAGGAAATGTACAATGCATGGGCCAAGCATGTTAATCCATGCTTGTATTTGTTCAAGTCTTTCTAATAGAGATGACATACGAAAAGTACAAATAAATAAAGAACTATCATCTGGATCCGGTAATACTTTTTTACCTAGAATTGTTGGTATACGACAGAATGGTATAAAAATGAAAAATGCTAATGAAACTATAATCGCATGTATTTTTGTTGTACCAAATAATCGAAATAGAAATAATTCGATTAGTGTACGTTCAAAAGCTAAAACAGCAGAAATCCATAAACTGATTGATGTCAGTATTGTGTGAATAGTCCAAAGCACATGACAATCAAGAATTTGATAAACGTACGACTGAACTACTGATTTTTGACCATAAAACGTTGTCATTGTTCGTATTAGTAGCCACATTGTTATATATAGGGCGCTTAGTGTATATACTAGTAGATAAACACCTGAACATGTTGAACGTATCCGTTTTGAAATAATTGTTTGCAAAGTTAAAATATTGTTTAACAAACCGATAAAAACCATTAGACAGATACAGAATACATAGAGTAGTTTGTAATTCACGGTTCTTGATTCTCGTATATTGATTAACATAGCAGATGGAAATGAATGAAGTAAAAGATTATCATATCTTTCACATGTTTGACCTACATAACACGGCGGACACAAACATGACCAACTAGCATTGTCATCATTTATGTAACATTGACCACGATTAAAACATGTGACATTAATTGCTACACAAGTATGTCCTAGTAGTATCATTTGAGTATTTGTTGAACGTTTTTATTCGATAAAATATAAGAACGAGAAATAAAGGAAGTAAAGAAAAACTCGATCAAATGACAATATTTTGTAGAAATACACGCATCTAAGCTCTGTATAAGATTATCAAATAATCTCTTTTTTCTATGACGCACTTACGGTTTAATATATTCTTTGTTCGTTATAAACAGCGCAATAGAATATCTCCACTATTGACGTAATGACCTATGCATTTTCAATAAATAGAAATTGAAGATAAGATCAATCATGACATTTTCTTGTTGCTATATATATATATATATTTCGGGAATTTCAATGTAAAATATTATTGACGATCAATACCATCTGTTCTCTGATTATAATCAATTGAAAAAAACAGAATGATTTTTGTAGCCGTTGTGTCGTTTTTATTATGCATTATTATTTATCAATGTTATTCAAGCAATTTAGATGCTGAATGTCGTAGTGAGTTCCATAATATGTTGCTGGAAAATGATGGAAGTGGAGGAGGATGTTTGACAAAGTGTTACAACAAAGAAACGTCGTGTGAAGCAAAAATATCAGCAGCTCGACAGATACAATTAATAGGAAAGTTTCATACATATAGATCGTTGTTGCAATTCAATCAAACAATTACAATTGGTGGTCATATGACAATTTCGGGTTTAGAAACGTATTATAGACGTGAATGTGATTTAAAAGGATTTAAAAAATGTGAAAAAACTGAATGGTTGAATGATAAACGATGGTGTTTCAATATCACACAGGAAGATCAACTATTGAAACTCAGTCAAAGTGTTTTAAAAACGCAACCATCCATGAAACGTGTTTCACCAATTGTCGATGAAAATTGGAAATTGTTACCCTTTCCAAATTTATTTAATGTTACAATCTTAAGTGTTAAATCATTAGAATCATGCAATAAAACTCGACAACCAATAGCATGTCATATGATGTTGGAAAACGATTGCTTATTTTATATGTGTCATACAAACAATGAAACGAAGTTAATACAATTGACAATTAAATATGAGCAATTAACTGTTGATTTAATCATGATGTGTCATTTAGAATCAATTACACATTATATGCTTGGAGATCGAATATATCGTATGTTGAAACAAAATGGCGGTCAAGATACTATATGTCATTTTGCTAATCCACAAACAAATTTTTTTCTTTGTGAATAGATCATGGATTGTCTGATCATCAACATGAACAATCAATTGACCAAGAAAACGATTTTATTGTCTATATGTATCCTATCTTTTTCTGAAATGAATAAAAAGAAAAATCTTTCTAACAAGTTATTGGCTTATTTAGAGAAGGTGTGATAGCATTGTGTCATAATCTAAGTAGTTCTGATTACATACAGTTTCGACTCTACTTGTTTTCTTTTGTACACGTTTGTTAGAAGATGATGATCGTCTAATTCGTGTTATTTTTATGTATCGCATTGAGAAAAATAGGTATTCTTTTGAATTACAGCAAAAAACATATTATAGCAAAATTTTTCTATTTGCTTCTGTCCGTAAATAAATGTTTGATCTCACCATACTTTCTCGTGAAAATCTGAGTATTCACACACAAACTCTCCAACTGCTAAATCACTGTTTTTGATCGTGACTATGTTTATTCGATCTTTTGTAATTAAAAGTCCACAAGACTCAAATAGTTCCAGTGTCTAAGCTTTCGGTCTAGAGATATAGCATTTTTACAGAGGGTAAGCGTAGGGTGTGGATGTCTTTCTCGCAGCCGTACACCCATACTCTGCAGAGCTCCGCGCAAGATCCTGGAAAAATCTAGAAAATATTCACATAACAAGAATAAGTAGGAATTCGGACAGGATTCTGACTAGTTTTGTATTATTCCTGATAAGATCCTCGTAGTAAGATCTGAAACAGATTTTGACTAAAACTTGATAAAATCTGAACATAATCCTCTCTACTATTCCGGCCATGTTCTCGATGAGTATCGAGAGCGAATCGTAGTAGGATCCTGCATTCTCAATTCAGAAAAATATTTAAGTAGGGACTTGAATAAGTCCTGAACGAGATTCTGTGTAATCATGAGAAATCGTAGAAATAAGAGTTCCTAGAATTTGAGACAGGTTTCTGAAAGATTCTTCCAAGCTTTCTCAAATAATGAGCAGAATTAAGACTAAAGATTCGCTTATGAAACTTTCAGCTTCTGACATCTGTTTCGAACACATTTTGTTTGTACAGTCAACAACATCATTCTGACTCCTGAAGTTGACGGACAAATCAAGTCAGGTGTCGAACGAAAAAGAACAGAAAGATTTTTGGCATTCAACACGTGCACTGATGGCGTATATATGATGAATAAAAAATTATCGATGTCAACAAAATTAATTCCGTCTCTTCTTACTTTACCCGTCGAAGTTCTCTATCGAATACTTGAATATCTTGATGTTTACACAATTTTTCTATCATTTCGTAAAGTCTGCAAAAAATTTTATACAATTGCCCAGAATTTTAATTGTTATGAACTTGATTTAAGTACGAGTACAAAAGATGATTTTCATATTATTTGTCATCTTATTCATCCTGAAAATGTTATTTCAATTATTGTATCCGACCGAGAAAAGACTCCTGGTCAAATTAAATTATTTTTTTCTCTTTTTCAAATTCAACAATTCACTCGTCTTCGTTCATTAACACTTGATAATATTGATTGTAAAGATTTAAATGAAATTCTTCATGATATTCTTCATTGTTCACTTATGTTTTTATCATTTCATACAAGAGGAAAACGAAATAAATCAACATTAGGACTTCTATCAATGTTTACTACCGAATCTAATCTTCAACAACTTTCTATTAATACTCATGCTCATCATGTTGCTGAAATATTTAGTTCAATTCAATCGAATCTTCGACATTTGAGTATTGGAACATGTACATATGAAGAATATCATAGGATACTTCGACATTGTCCTCATTTACGAACACTTATCATTGATGATTGTTGGGTGACAGATGTTGATGCAACTAATTCAATAGGTTCTTTACCAATATTCTATCATCAATTAATTTCATTAACATTCAAAGATACAAATAGATCAATGATACAATTACAATTACTTCTTTCATTTACACCTTCACTTACTTATCTGAAATTAATTAATTTTCCTTACACATATAATTCTCTTATTGATGGCTATCAATGGGAAATATTTATTAAAAGAAAATTATTGTTATTAAACAAATTCGAATTTCTTTTTCATCAACAATTGTTAAGAACATATAATTCTTCTTCTGATATCGAATCACTTCTTTTACCATTTCAAACATCATTTTGGCTTGAAGAAAAACATTGGTTTGTCTTATGTGATTATATCAAAAGTTGTCATCGAACAAAATTTTATTCAATACCATTTTGTGTTACTTCATTTGATTATCATCTTGATTCAGAAAACATTTCATTATCTACATCAACGATAAAAACCAATGATCCAATAATTATGGATAATGTGCATTATTTATCATTAAATTTGACAGAATTGAAAATTAAAGGAATGATAAAACAGGTATGAAGTACTTATTTAATTGTTCAAGTGCAACGAGCTTCTCATCATTTTCGCTCAGGAGTTTTGAGAAATTTACGTCTTTAGTGTTTCAGAGTTTTTCTCAAAAACTACCCATTATTTTATGAAACTCCCGATCGGAATCAGAAGTTAGATTATAAAAAAACATTAGTATGCATATCTCTACATCAGAATTGCGAGGAGTGAAGTTGACGATTTTCGGGGAGCCGGACTTTGTTACGGATTTAAATGAGCAAAAGAGGAAGAAAATTGTTCAATTCTTCTGAAGAAAAACAAATTTTTCAAGATTTGGAAGACACATCCCTGCTTTCAGTATTTGCTCATTTGTCTTTCAATTTTTTACTGACTTTTCACTTTTTCTGTCGGAATAAGGCGTCAAAAGAGTTACGAAGCATCCATTGACGTTAAGCAATTTCTATCGAACAACAATCTTAGTCTTTGAAACTCTGACATCATGGAAAATGTATTTGGGCATACATGTATATTTATTTTTTTGATCTTCTGAATATTTATCGTTTTCTTTGTATGTACGAAATCATTTTCGTCCTCAATATTCTCACCTGTACGAGAATTTATTCATTTAAAAGAAAATTATTTCTCAGTCTGTCATCAATCTGATCTGACATTTTGGAAGAAAACACTAATACGAAGAAATTCTCAATGTTTCTTTTGGGTTAACTAATTTTTTAAAGAAACCTAATATCTGCGTGGCCAAAACCAATAGTCTCTAATACATGCAAAAAATATCCTTTGGTAAAATTCTTAAAGGAATCCTTTCGTCATTTATAAAATGTCTTTTTAGGGCGTGAGAAAGATGGTAATGATAAAATAAATAGTTGAAAAAATACATGATTCATGCCTTTCAATGCTGCTCATTGTGATAGTATTTTGCACATGATTTGTATTTCGAATGAATAAACGACACACACATGCAGTCGCGAATAGAGGTTTACCGCCCAATCCTGGGAAATTTTTATTGTTTCCTAGCGAATTGCATCCAATATACTGGGTCGTCCGCTGTCTCCCTCCTGCAGACAGTACATGCTTTCCCCTATCCTGGTCGTTTCGTGACTACTTTGTCTACACAAAATTTATGGAGCTAGAAGATAGACGTCAATTTTTGTGAAAGAGGTATAGATGTGAGTGAAACAAGAACTACTCTTATGGAAATAATAACCACTTGAAGACTGATATAAAAGCAAAATGAGAAATAAGTAATTATGTTCTTGACACAATAAAGTTATTAGCTCATATCATCCTTTCGTGATTTTACTCATAGACGGTTATTTTGTATCAAATCTTTCATTGAAAGATTTCTAAGACTATTGAATAACTTGCGCTGAAACTCTTCTTAAGAACCAATCTTAAGAATAGAATTTCCCAATGTCCTTTGGCAATCATATGATATAATTAAAATTTTAGAAAGATAACGATTTGCTTCTTTTTAGAGTGCTAGAAAAAAGTCTACGTTGTTCCGCAAAGTAACCGAACTAAAACTTCGCATTGATGGCGAATGGCCGCTTGATTCACTTGGCTGTCTTTCTACGCTGCTTGATCTTTCTCATCTCGATATTTTATCTCTTCAAGTCGATTTTGATCCATATACAGTATCGAATACGATAGCGAACATAATCGCTTTAATCCATCGTACATGCAATATTCGATCCCTAGGATTANTCGAACTAATTCCAAATAAGTATCCAAGGTTGTCATTATCTGAGAACAAATTAAGTAAGAGTGACAAAATATTCTGGTTGCTCTGAAGAAACGCTATCTTAATTTGTAAAGTTTCCAAGAATAATTGTCTATCTTTGGCTGCTAGGGAAAAGGCATTCAAGAAATTTCTATCTTCTCTAGACAAGCATAGTCGTTTGACGAATAGGTTGAGTGTTGGTGTGAGAATCTGCTTAAATGCTATCTACATTCAATTCAAGAATTATACACATATCTGCACCTATTGGCTAGACCAGATACATATCATATATAATCTTTGAAATAGATAGATGCTTATTCACTCTTACTTAATTTGTTCTCAGATAATGACAACCTTGGATACTTATTTGGAATTAGTTCGAGAATTTTGACTTAACTCTGATCATTTACTTTTAGATCCTGTTCGAAAGTCTTTATTAAAGCAATTATGGACTTGGAATCATTTTGCCAATACTGCAAAAATATCAGATGAAAGAGAAATTAGACAACAATTTATTGCAACACGACTGTTTATTATTTTATTAGCAATATCATTTGTTGCACTAGTAACATATTATGTTTTCGAACGTGTTACTCTCCTCTATCATATTGAATCGCCTACATTAGAGCAATTTATTCATTTACAACAAGACCAACTTATCAATAATTCTCTCTCCTGTCCTTGTTCAACTTTAGCCATACAATATGAAGATATCATTCAAATCGATTATGTGTATCATCCAGTTTGCTCCTCCAGGTTCTCTAATCCAGATAGAATTGAGGTAATAGGATATCAAGCAACTTACTTCTTTCTTGATTTTCGTGTTTTGGCACCATCATTCTTCAATGCTTTGGGTTTATATTGTGAAGTGGCTGCTAAACATATTGAAAAGAGTCTCGCTTCATTTATCAGACTATTATTTGTTAATGATCAAGCGTTAAATTTAGAAGTTTTCACTGAGAAAACAAATGCAATCATCAACAATTTCAAATCGTCAACGACTCGTGCTTTTGTATGTGATCTCACCATCATTTCGAATATGACCCACAATAATGGACTGATGACTACTCATAGTACCAATTTCGTTCTTATAATGGGTGGTACACATCCATCGTATGCATTGATGTATGGTTACACACCACATTTCATCAGCTTGAAAGATCCATTCGATCTTTGCATATGTTTTCCTGGAGTACAATGTCACAATCCGATGGCAATTTATTCAAATTATTCTTTTTTACCAGTTCGATTATTTAATATTCCAGGTCTCTTTACTGGTTGTTTGCCCGATGAAGGTATTCGACATTCATCATTAATTTGTTTGTTCAATCAAACATGTGTCGATTTGATATCTTATTGGCTTAATGCATCCAAGGTATTGGCAATTGATGCAAATATACTTAATCACTTTACTCCGCGTTCGACTATCGACGAAATGATAAATGAAGTGTTCGTCGATCGATGGAATTATTCGGCTTCATACCACGATTTTTATCAAAGGTGTCGACCAGATAGTTGTTCATACAAACTATCAAAACATAATTCAATTTGGCTTATTGTAACAGCAGTCTTCAGTCTCATTGGTGGTCTAATGAAAATTTTACAAATTGCTATTCCCCATACTGTTCGAATAGTATTTTCATTATATTCACGATTTGAACGTTGGTGGCATAGACAACCTCCTCCTATTATACCTCGATCAAAATTATCTTTTCAAATTCGTGTCAATCAATTTCGCCAACTTAATTTGTTTGCCTCTGAAGATTCTACTAAAGATGACGAACATGAAATTCGCAGTCAAATTCTTTCTACTCGTATATTTATTATTGTTCTAGTTCTTACTCTTATTATTCTTACAATTTACTCTGCTCGAGTTGAAATCACCAAAACAGTGACAAACTTTAGTCCTTCTCTATACAAGTATTCACAGCTTTATGCAAACCATTATCAAACACTCATTTGTACCTGTACAAATATTGCTATTCGACATAAAAAATATATCATACTTCAACCAAATTTTCATCCAATATGTCAAAGTAGTTTTGTTGACCATCGCTGGCTAGATGGACTCGTACAAACCTCTTTTATACCTAGTGGTATTTTTGTTCGTGACTTTCGCTCTATCGGTGCAGCCATTTTTGGTACCATAGCATCGCTCTGCCAACTCTCAATGAGAACAATCAATGATGGTCTTTTGGATTTCGGTGAACAAGTTATTCTTTCAACTCAAGTGATATCAAAAAAGCAACTTACTAATCAAGGACAGTCTCTGTTTTACTTATTCGAATCGACAACGGCGAATGCTTTTATCAATTCAATTCAAGCTTTTCGTGATGCAATACAGACAAACAGTCTTATATCAGGTTACGAAACATCAACATTCCTCAATATTTTTGTACAAGATGAACAGAATGCTCAATTACTTGCTGAACCTATCCAATACAATCACTCATGTTCCTGCCATAAAGATTCAACGTGCATCGACTCTGCTGGTGTCTACAACTATCCGAATCCAATCATCAACTATTCCATACCTGGATTTTTCATTGGCTGTTATATCATTGAGGCAACTCTGCAG